GGCCTGGCCTGGCGGACGCTCTGCCCCTGCTGGTGGCCGAGCCCTTCATCACGCCTGGTGCCTTCTGGTGCGGGCGGGGACTTACAGGGGAGGGGGAAAAAACACACAAAAAACCCCCCAAAAGTGACGGTTTTGCAGTCTGACGTCGTAATCTGGTGAGAAAAAATAGTCCTTTCCTGTTATTTTTCTCTTCAGCCCAGGCGTTAACTGTGGGCTCTTGGCCAAAACGAGCTGGTTTACCCCAACATTTCACTGCTCGGATCTGAAGTTCCTCCCACGTACCCAGGAGATGCCGTCTGCCCTTTTGCTGTCAGTGGTGCTGGGTAGGGGGAAGGACGCGACGGGGTGGTGTGCTGCAGCGGGGGGGGGTCTCCTAGCATGGGTCCTGCGGGGGTTTTCTGGTGCTACTTGAAAGCCCCTTTGCTTGGTTCAGAGAGACCAAAAGCACAGACAGCATTTCAGAGCGCACCTATATCCCCTTTCACAGAGCTGATACTGCGAGGCGGGTGGCATCCCTCCAGGAATGTTGTTTTCCCTGGTGTTCAGCTAAAGCTCAGCTGTGCAGTTGCGCTCCTAGCATGGGTCCTGCGGGGGTTTTCTGGTGCTACTTGAAAGCCCCTTTGCTTGGTTCAGAGAGACCAAAAGCACAGACAGCATTTCAGAGCGCACCTATATCCCCTTTCACAGAGCTGATACTGCGAGGCGGGTGGCATCCCTCCAGGAATGTTGTTTTCCCTGGTGTTCAGCTAAAGCTCAGCTGTGCAGTTGCGCTCTTGGCCGAGAACTCAGCTGTAAGTGTGACACACAGGCACACGCACAAAGATGTTTCCATCCCAGAGGACCTCCACAAAGTGCATTTGCAACCTGCAGGGCCCCGCTCCAAAACTCGCTTTCTGACTGGCTTTTTGGAGTCACTGGAAGTGAAGTTTCTGGAGAGACTTGCCCAGAGGTGGGAAGGAGTTTGGCTGTGCTTGAACAAGAGAAGAAGCGCAGTGGGAGGAGGAAGGAAGGCTGATTAATCAGGGTAAGAGGAAGAGAGGAAAATCAAGCAGAGGTGTAGGTTGAGTTGGAAGAGAAATACTGTAGAAACTTGAAAGATCACAAAAGATTTGGGTTGGGGGTGGGTGAGAGTCATGGGCGAAAAGCCACTTGGACCCAGCCTGTTTCTTTCAAAGGTGCTTGAAGTATCTCGACCAATGCCAACCTCGCTCCCCTGCGCGTGGTTTTCTCTTTTTTTGCTGAATTTGGAGCAAAGGAGAAGAGAAATAGTCTCTTTACTGAATAGGTTCTCAAATGCATCACGGCTTAACGCTAAACTACATGGATGGTATTCTTAGCAGCTCGTGACGTTCGCCTTCAGAGCCTTCCATGTGCGAACGCTGTGACTTTGGTTCTCTGTCTTTGAAGTGGGGCTGTCGTTGCTGAGAGGGATGTTTCTGGTAACAGCAAAGTGCTGGATTTCGTAGGTAGTATATCACCTTTCAGCAGCAAATAGAACTTGTTTTGAATAAATGGTCTGTCAGTAGCGTTTGCCTGTCTCTCAATAATAGAAAAAATATAGAAGATGTGCAAAATAGAGTCAGACAGGAAAGTCTCTTGGAAGGCCTAGGTAGGATAAACATTCTCTTGTCCGAGATCATTTTTGCAGCTTGAACCAGCCCCTCTAAATGTTCTCCAGGACAAGCTCAGGTGCTAGAAGAGGAGATGATGTCGGAGGGGTTGGGGTCTCCTTCCCCGAGCCACGGCGCAGATCTGAGCCTTGCCCACTTCTCGGCTGCCTGTCTCCAGCCACACGAAGACAGCATTGCGTCACTTGTGGACAGTTCAGGCTGGACATCACAGCCAGTAGAGCCAGAATTGATACTTTTATCAAACATTTCTTTGTGCTAAACAGGAGAGCTTTGAAATCCAGCTCCTGCTTGCTGCTTCTGATGGCTTTGCGAGGCCTGGGCTGTGCCGCAGTGTCACAGCTCTTGGCTTGGGTTTTACTGTCCAGGTTCTGAGAGGGCTTTTCCTTTCCCCCGCTCACAAGACAGTCAGGAAGGGGTAGAGTCTGCCCTGCCTGTCACGATTTGACTTCTCACGCTGGAAGGCGACACTTACGCCCTTGCGGCTGCCTGACTGGCAGGGAGTAGCACAGCCGTAAGGGTCAGCAGTGCCTGGGGTCTGCCTGGGGACTCTGGAGCAGAGCCTGATCTGCACCAGGGGACTGCCTCGTGGTGTGCTTTGAGAGACAAATAAGGTGCCCAGCAAGCTTAGTGGCTAGTCAGTGTCTCACAATATTTGCCAGCCATTTACTAGTCATCTTAAAAACGCATTGGCCTCTTTCTTGTACCCTCCTCCTTGCGTGGCTGTTTCCAGAAATCTTCATTTCAGCTTGCCCTCCCTCTTCTTCTCCCCAGAGGCCCCTGTTCTCCACCCAGGTTGCTTTTTTCACCTCTTCTGCTGGGGCAGCTAAGAGGGTTGCTGCTCCAGCAGCTTCTCCTCACCTGCCAGCTGGCGGTTGCTGCCCCCATGCTCTGCCCATGGAGCAGACGATGCGAGGTCTCCTCAGCTGCCTCACTGCGAGTCATAGAATCATTAAGGTTGGAGGAGACCTCTAAGATCAGTGAGTCCAACCGTCCACCCAACACCACCGTGCCCACTAAACCATGTCCCTGAGCACCACATCCACACGTCTTTTAAATACATCCAGGGATGGTGATTCCACCACTTCCCCGGGCAGCCTGTTCCAAGGCTTGACAACCCTTTTGGGAAAGACGTTTTTCCTAATATCCAACCTAAACCTCCCTTGACACAACTTGAGGCCATTTCCTCTCGTCCTATCACTTGTAACCTGGGAGAAGAGACCAACCCCCACCTCGCCACAGCCTCCTTTCAGGTAGTTGTAGAGCGCGATGAGGTCTCCCCTCAGCCTCCTCTTCTCCAGGCTAAACAGCCCCAGTTCCCTCAGCCGCTCCTCATCAGACTTGTGCTCCAGACCCTTCACCAGCTTCGTTGCCCTTGGTTGTCGACATGATTGGTCCCAGAGGGCAGAATTGAGCTGCTTGACTTTGCGCTGCAGCAGATCGGGAGCGCTCCCATGCCAACTCTGTGCTGAGATCCTGTCCTCAGACAGAAGCCGAGCCCCAACAAGACAGAGGTAAAGCTACCTGGTGAGAAAGCAGCCTGCAGACAGCAGCAGGCTGCTTGTGCCTGTGCCAGATCAGAGGTGTCTGCTCCTGTTACTGCTTTTGCTGCTGTGGGAGAGTTCAGGGTGCACAAGAGACAGCTGAGGCTGCTGCAGGGAATCATCCCCCTAGCAGGCAGCACCCCACATCTGGCACCAAGAGGGAGCAAAGACCGTCATTTCGATTCCCCCCCATCCTCCCTTCCTTCCCATCTCACCCTTCCTTGAGAGGAGCTGGTGCTTCGCCATTACGATGCAGGAATAGATCATCTAACGGGTCATGGGAGATGTGGGGATTCTTGTACTGAAAAAAAATCCAGCCAGAGCTGCATGTGATCCCCCATCCCACTGCAGCCCTCTCCTACTCAGATACCCCAAATCCACAGTGGTCGCCCCACCTTTTCTTCCCCCAAGGTAACCATTTTGCTGCTGCACTGACTTGACATCTTGATCTAGCCTTAATCGGGAAGCCACATGTATAAGCAGAGCTCAGAGGGATGCCTGTAACGGATTTATTTCCCCCACGTGGGGAGCACAGAAGCTAATGCGTATTGCAGTTGCAGCATCTCTGCCAGGCTTTGGCTTTCCTCATTGCTTGGTGCCCTGTGGTAGTCAGAGCACAAGGGATTTTGAAGAAGTTGAAAACGCCTGGTCTAATGCATCTTTGGGGTTGGCCACACGTGGTGGGATAAGGGTGTGTTACGCAGAGTGCTGACCTGGTGCTTTTTTTTAATCAGCATCTGAATCATCGTAAACAGGCTCATTTGGCAGCTTGCGCAGGCTGGCAGCACACAGCTAAACTCCTGACAAATTTCTCGTCCTCACCCTCTGTGCTGTAGCTGGTTTAGGCAGGAGTTAGGAAGGCACGTGGCATTTTTAAGCCTTCTGTACCCTAAAACTAAAAAACAAAACCCTGAAGCATAAAGCTCTGTTCCCTCTACTTCTCAACTCAGGATCTTACAGCGTCTTATAATGATTTGTTTTACTTCTGCCATACTCTTCCCTGACTTTGTTCTGGGGCCACATTTCTCCTTTCAACTAATCTCCATCTGCAGGTTATGGGCCAGCTTTCACTCTACGGACTGCTTTTGCGGAGACTTTGCTCCCAGCCTCCACGTGCCGTCTCCAGGTGCAAAGAGCAGTGCAGTACCCTGGATATTTCAGCAACTTCTCAGGTGGTGGTTGGTGTTTCAGACTATGGTGTCTGAAGTAGCAGAATGCTCTGTTTGAATACATAAAGTCTCTTGGAGCTGCAGCTCTATAGCAAAAATATGTTTTCATTGTTTAGAATGAAAAAAAAGCAGTTTGGGTTTCTTAAAATGAAAAAGAGATTACTTTTTCCTTAAATTGCACCGTCTCTGCCAGGTTACTTGTAGCTGCTGAGTAGCAGGTAATACCTGACTGCCGTGTACCCCGTGGGTATGTCAGGTCACCTGGGTGCTTGTCTTGAACTGCCTTTGCATGAGGTGGTGTTTGATAGTGGCTGCCTTACGGCTTTGCAGGGAAACAGCAGCCCTGGCTAGGGGAAGCACTGGCACTGCCTCACTTTCAGTAGCGTAAAGGATAGATTAAAAAGTGCTCCGTGTTAGGTGGAAGCCACTCATTCTTCGTCTGCCCTTTTTTCAGTACCTGGAAGCAATTCTGACCCCAGTAAATTGTGATCCATGGCTACAGTGCTAATATGCCGAAGATTTCCAAGACTGAGCAGGGTGACTACGTTTTCGACTACAGCCAAGTGCCAAGCCGAGAGCGGAAGCAGCAGAAGTAAGCAGAAAAAGGAAGAGAACCCAGAAACAGCCAACACCGGAACTGAATCTGCGGCTAAAATCCAGTTGCTGAATCCACTGGACTACAGAGTATTGTATAATCCATCTGCCTATGCCAAAAGCAGAGCTGCCTCCCAGCAGCATGCTGCTGGGAACAGTGGCCAGGCTCTCGGTGACACTTTCACCAGCCCTGGCACCGCACAGGTTCAGCATACATTCGGTACCGCCTCTTCTCAAGCTTTGCCACCCCTCAGAAATGCCCTGCCAAAGCCCAAGTCCAAACCGCTCCTCGAGCAGACCTTCTCGGCACGGCTCTCTACGGCACAAACTAAGGAGGAGGCAGAAAATGAAAAAACAGAAACGCATGACTCCAAGGAGGACCCTCGCGTGTTTCAGAAGGGGAGGCCTGAGTACAGATCTCTCAGCTATGACAAGTTTGAGCTGATAGAGACCCTTCCTTTAGAAGAAGGTGACTCGATTTTACACAGTGTGGCCGTATGCAAGGGCAGCCAGAGCCCAGGAACTATCACAGGTTATTTTCGCAAGCTGAGTCGTTTGCCAGTGGAACAACACGCAGCGTTGGTGTCCGAACCCAGGTTTAATACACTGTGTCGCTGTGCTGTCAAAAACATCAGGCTGTTCAGTACTTCAGACCTCATCGATATTTTAAAGGCTTGCGTTCGTTTGGTGGTTCCACCCACCCACCCTCTGCTGAACGCGTGCGAGAACGAATTCTGCCGGCGGGTGTGGGACATGAACCTGGACCAGCTGCTGCTGGTGGCTGATTGCTGGCGCTGTCTGGAGCGTAGCGTGCCTTCCTACCTGAGCATTTTGTTCAGCTATGCCAACATGCACTGGAAAGACCTCACTTTGCCTCAGTTTGTTCAGCTTGTTTATATCATAGGTGAAGGCCGGAGGTCACCCACGGACTTGATGCAGAAGGTGGAGAGTACGATTTTGAAGTACTTGGACTCCTTCACCTTGGAGGAGGTGGGTGCCATCTGCTTAGGGCTCTTCAAGTCCCTCAGTGGTGTCTCTGACCACATCATGAGAAAAATTGCAGACAGAGTCTCCCTGCAGATGGAAGACATGAGCACTTACGCTTTGGTGAATGTGCTTAAAATGCTCCGCTACACTCGCATGGACCACTTACCCCTCTTGAAGGAACTTGGGAAGGTTATTCCCACTCGGATTCCTACAATAAACATCCAGGGCATCATGCACATCACTCTTACGTGTTCATCCCTACACTACTTTGACGAAGGTGTTATGGCTGCTGTAGCCCTGTCTTTGCCTTCTAAGGTGACTTACTGCCGAAGCAAAGATGCTGCCAAGTTTTTGTGGTCATTTGGATGCCTGGACTATGAACCTCCGAACGAGGAAGAGTTTTACTCCAGCCTGATAGAGCAGATGCATAGAAAACTCCATGAATTTGGGAAGTTTCCGGAGCACCTCCTTACTGGTTTGCTTGGCCTGGCATTTGTCAAACGCTTCCCAGAGGAGCTGATAGACTATGCTTTGAGGGATGAGTTTGTCCAGAAAACGAGAGGTAGTAAATATGAGCTTAAAAAGGACCTGTTCACCCTTAGTAAGAGTGTTGAAATTGAGTGCCCAAGCTACCAAGGCAGCCGCCTTCCACCTCAGCTTTATCAAGAGATTACCGAGATGCTTATGAATTTTGCAGAGCAGGAAATCTATGTCAGGCCTGAAATTGTGGAAGCCACATCTCTTCTCGAGAGCGTGTTAGGTGGCCCCGAGTATGTGAAAAACCATATGATCCTGCCTCACACGAGATCGAGTGATCTGGAGGTTCATTTGGCCATGGATGGACATCCCATCCCTTTCAACTTAAAAGACTCTATCGCAGATAAGAAACTAAGAGACATCGGAGTTAGTCTAACGGATGACTTAATGACTCAGCTTATAAAAGGGAGATCTAATAGCCAGTCTCCCGTGGAAGTGGAAAATGAAGCCAGGACTCCTGGTCGGGAGAGAGGGGAAGAAGCACAAACACCACGTGCAGGGGATCGTGCTGCACTTTCAGGTGGAGCTCTTATTGCAGATGCCAGGTTGCAAGTTGAGCCTAAATCGGGGTGCGGTTTTGAAGCCCCCCCAACTCTTACACTGAATCGGCAGCCTCGGGGGGTGAAACTGGCTATTCAGGTGTCCAACCGAAACCACTACTGCTGCTACTCCAAGCGACTCTTGGGGCTGCACTGTTTGAAACGGCGGCAGCTGCAGCGGCTGGGATATGTGGTGGTTGAGCTTCCCTTCTGGGAATGGTTTCCTCTGCTCAAACGCACGCGTTTGGAGAAACTGAGCTACCTCCATTACAAAGTGTTCGACCCAGCGCTGCTTAGCAGGGCTGCCTAGTCTGGTGTACTGCTTGCTCAGAGGCTGACACAGCCTCCCAGATGCATCTCTCTTTCTGATTACTGATTAAAATGGTCTCTGAGTGTTGGTTAATTTTTTGGCAGGTCCTTTGTGTGCTCAGGCTGCCTTGCTAAGTTAGCCAATTCTGCTTTGCTGACAGTCATGTGTCCCTCGTTCTGCTTTTGTACATAGATCCTCAAGTGCTTCCATGACAAATAAAAACTACTGTCCTATTCATTTTTCTCTGTGATTACTTTTTCCTCCGCCCTAAGTGAAAGTGGATGGATTTGGTGACTTTCTGAGAGCAGAACAGTGTCAATGCTGTTGTGATATCTGGGAGAGAACTGGGGTGTTTTTCAGTCATGAGGCTGACCTGGGTACCAGAAGCACACATACATATTTCCTCACTGTTTCCATCACCGTCGAGCTGGGGCTGGTGGGCACGCGGTCAGAGTTTCTGCTTTAGGAGCTCTGCGTGAGCAGGGCAGAGCATGAAAGCTGAGCAGTGAGATGGAAGCTGGGTCTGAGGGTTGGGGTGCTCTGACCCTGAGACATTAATTTCTTGCTCAGCCCTCAGTGATGCCTGGGCAGAGAGGATTTGCATCCCGTTGACCCTGTTGATAACGTCTGCCGCCAAATGGGGCCCACAAATCCGCCTTGAGGTGATTCCCCTGCCTGGGTGACGATGAGTCCTGTGCAGACTGGAGTGCAAACTCCAGCTGTGTGGAGCATCTGCCCTGGAGGCAGCCGGTTTCACCCTCCGTCATCGTGTGGCTCATCGTGTTATTTTCTTGCTCAGGATGGGGCCCGGTGTCCAATTTCTGCATGCTATTCGCAGGACAGAGTTGCTGGCTTCTTCCTGAGCTTTCAGGTGGTGGTTCTCTCCGAGAGGTGCACAGGGCAGGCTCTGCATCTGACCAGAGCTGCAGGGATCATTTCACATGGAGCAGCAGGTGAAACTCCCACTCCCGCGGCAAAGGCAGCTGAGCTGTTCTGGCTATTTTGCAGTGCGGCGTTTCAAGGCATACTGAGGTGGTGGATGGGGAAGAGAGATGGCAGTAAGCAGGTTGCTGTCCCAAGACAGATACTGTATATTAGCTCATTTTGGCTGCCTGGTTTAAAATGTCTGGGCTGGTTTTTTCCTCTCCCTCAAGTACCCAGCATTATGGAGCACCTTACTTCAGTGTCCACTATGCACGTTCCTTATTGCAGCAGCTCCCTAGTCGTCTGTAGGACACCAGGAAGGCACTTAGTGACTAGCTCCAGAAAGCCTGGTTTTGAATGAGTTGTCCAAGACCACAGAGGATCTTGCTGGCATAGAAAAGTACGGAGTACAATCCTTCAGGTCAGAATTTCACTGCTTCAGTTGAAACATTTTCGTTCACCTTAGGGAAGGCACACACCCGATAGATGGGACAGTTGTGTGACATCCTGATGGCACTTCATAGTCTTTGAGTCCTTTGTGATCTTTGAGTCATTTGTTTTGATGAGTAATGACTTCAGTAATGCGGTTTTGTGGGTGTTGTATTTTTGAAGTGTTCGTAAATTCAGAGCCTCCTTCGAGCCACAACCACCTGGGTTGTCACTAGCACAGGAGACCTCCACACAAGTTTGGGGCGTAATGGCAGCAGTAGCCATGGGAAGCCACATCCACTGCCCTGTCCCATTCTTCTTCCAGAGCTTTTTACAGTCTGCATTTCCCCAGCTCTTGCTTCAGCCCAGGCTCTTTGCCGTAGGGGTCCTGGGCTCACTGTCCCCACCTGATCCTGGCTCCTCCTCTGGTCGGTTCTCTCACCTGCTTTTGCCTGTCCCTGCTGATTCTTGTTCCCAGCCTGCTTCTCTGGCCTCAGCCAGGCCCTTTACCTTATCACAGTGTGTCCAGACAGTTCTTTCTTTCTTTACACAGAAGCTTAGTCCTAATCTCATTCCATTTAATCTGTCCCTTTGCCCCCACTGTCTGTCTTCTGAGTTGCGTTTTCATGGGAAGAGTAAAAAAACCACAGCCCTGGCTAAAAGCAACTCGGTGACCAACTTTTGCTGTGAAGCAAGAGTGTAGCAGAGCTTTTCAGAAGAAGGTGACTTGGACATGCAGAATAATGTGTTTTCCTACTGAGATGTTGAAGCTGGAAAAATTAGTCTGAGTTGTTTGTCAGGGTCACAAACAGATAGGAGAGAATCCTATAAAATATACCTGTATATAAATACGTAGCTCCTCACGCTGCAGAACAAGGAGCAGCTGAATTGAAAGACGGCAAGTTTAGCGAGAGAATAAATTGTCTGTAATTAACCAGAGCTAATTGCCACAGAACATTAAGAGTATGGTAGAAAAGGATAGATTTAGGATGCAACCTCAGTAACAGCCTTAGGCTTGGAAGAAGACGTGAGTCTGTCCTGAGGAATGACTTGCACCCATCCGTGATTTCCCTGGCACGCTGCGGAAGAGGAGGTTGCACGACCGCGAGGTCCACAAGAGAATTTGGCATCCGCCGTAGGCAGGATCTCAGTAGGCAGTGGCTCATGAGAAGTGAGTTCTTAAAGTGATGAGTTTGCAGGGATGCAGAGGTGAAGGTGCCTCTTCTCGCTCACCTTCATTCAGGGAAGATCTCACCAAGACTTGCCAAATGCGAATTCACCAGTCTGGTCAGGTTGGAAGGGAGAAGTCTTCAGCCCAGGAAAAAGAGATGTGAGAAGAAACAGAAGAGAGAGCAAATCTTGAGTCATTCTGAGAAAGGGATCAAAGAGAGTTGATTTGCCATTTTTTGTAATGCCAGCGATAGGAGGGCAAGCTAATTTACCAGGCAGCAGGTTCAAAATGAACCAGAAGCTGTAGCTTTGTCACACAGCCTGTAGTTAAACCAGCAATCTTACTCCCACAAGATGCGGGTGCCAAAAGGCAGACCAGTTCAAAAGCCTATTTGAACAATTCTTCACTGGCAGCCCTATACTGGAAGCCTGTCAGGCTCAGAAAGCCAGGAAAATAATACTGGAGGAGCATTCGTTTCTGCTTGCCCCGTTCCTGTGTTCCCTGTTGAGCAGCAGG